AAAACACTCTGTGGGTACTCCCAATCCCCCACTATAAATAGACACCAAGAACAACAAATGACTAGAGGTCTGGTTGGTGCTTCCACCTTCCAAGCCTCTAATTCGAGTGCAGCGCTATAAAGATCTGTATAGAACAAATGTACGAATATACATATAACTTACCCCTCTCAATACTTATTTGGGGGTGTACATGAAAAACAGAAACAGAAAAATATACAAAATAATAGTGCAATATTGTGTATATATATATATAAAGTGGTATTATAATGTGTGAGTTATGACTACTCACATAATTAGCCTTTTCAGATATTAGGCTTCTAGGCTTCCGTGCCCTTTTAAGGTAGACAGCTTGACCCCTTTCAGTTCTTCAAAATTCTTACTTCCCTCCACTCCACAATGAGTATATGCAGGAAAAGAGGAGAGAGACTCTAGGTGTAGTATTTTAGGAAATCCTCTTTGGACTGATATATTGAAAAGAAGAAAATAGGGTGCTCACCTCTTTAAGAGCCTTTTAAATACTGGCTCAAAGTTTGCAGGCTTAGTGTCAAATTGGGGTGACACCTCCCCCTTTACCGGAAAGAGTGCAGGATGCAGTAATAGATATTACTAAATTTATTACTGAATAAAATACAAATAAGTTATACACAGTAAACTAGAAAATAAAAAACATATATATCAGTAGCTCTATAGGGCTTCAAATAAATAGTCCCAGTCTGTGTATTCTCTGCCAAGACGCGTTTCGCTCCGATTAGCTTTCTCAGTTGGCTGTAAAAGTCTTCTGCTTGTTCCGGTTTTCTATCGTTGAAAATCCCGCCTGTTCGTCGATTGGCCAATCGGTGAAGGTTTCCTCCGACCGTCACGTCACTTCCGTTTTCGGGCATTATCGGGACTTCGAATCCCATAACGCTCTGTGCCCCTCACATGATTTCCGGTTTTGTTCCGTCGGCGGTTTAGAATATAGATATGCATTATAAAACATATATAAATATAAAATGTAGTCCTTCAAACACCTATTTGTATTGGCCATTATTGTATTGTATAATAGTTAAAATACTGTCTTAAAAACACACGTTTATAAAATGTATTGCCTATGCATACTTAAAAAAGAGTCAGTTAAAAAAGGTACATAAGGAAAGAAAGAATGTAATAACCACATGGGTATACATTAAAGTAGGTGTGTATAATAAGAGATATTTTGTAAATAGAAAGATGAATAAAAGAATAAGTGGAAATAGTAGTGGAATATAACACAAATAAAAATAAAGATGGAAATGTAAATAAAAATAAAGATAAATATAAATAAAATTAATACAAATAAATATAAGAATACATGGGAATAAATTTGAAATAAAATCATTAAAAATTGAAATAAAAACAGGAATAAAACTAGGGATAAGTATAAATAGACAGAAAAAATAAATAATAAAAAAATATGAGTAAATATAATAAAGATGAATACATATTTGAGATAGAGTATTATAAAAAATGACATAGCTCGAAATCCGCATTTAGACCAAAAGGGGCCAATGTATTTAAATTAAAGATCCATTTTGTCTAAATTTTTCCTAATTTCTTAATTTCATCCTCTCCCCGCCAGTTTAGTTCTATCTTTTGAATTGCAAAAAATTCTAAACCATGGGGGCTGCTCTCATGCATTTCTTTAAAATGTAACGAAAGATTGTGTTTATCAAATCCCTTTTTTATGTTGCGTATGTGTTCATTTATTCTAACCTGTAAAGGTCTTTTAGTTCTTCCAACATACATAAGATTACAGGGACATTTTAATATATAAATGACTCGTTTCGAAAAACAAGTTAACATATCTTTTATTTTATATTCCTTTTTATTCTTTGGATCTTGGAATGTTTTTAAATGTCTTTTCCCACCTTTGGTGCTTCTACATGCCAAACAATTCCCACATCCAAAGAAACCTTCTTGATGAAACAAGGTATTAGGTTTTTTTTCCTTAATGTGGTTATGGGTTAGTTTCTGTTTTAGGTTTGGTGCTCCTCTATATATTAACTTAGGTATGTCTGGTAGTATTGTGTGAAGCATCGGATCTTTTCTTAGGATAGGCCAACGTTTATTAATAATACGTTTGATTTTTTGACTAATTTGATTATAATTATAAATAAACGGTACATTATATGTTTCGTTTTTTCTTTCACTTTATATTTTAAAAGTTTAGATCTATCTAACCCCTCTATATTTTTCATTACCATTTGGAGTTGATTTTCTTCATACCCTTTTTCTATGAATTGTTCTTTGATTTTTGTAGCTTGTGTTTGAAAGGTGTTGATGTCTGTGCAATTCCTGCGTATTCTAAGGAATTGGGACCTGGGGATATTTTTTAGCCAAGGGGAAAAATGACAGCTATTAAGGTAGATGTAATTGTTCACATCTACTGCTTTAAAGTAGGTTCTCGTTTTAATTTGATTCTGTTCTATATAAATAGTCAAATCTAGAAAATTGACATTGTTATTGCTGTATTCTGAGGTTAACTTAATCCCCCACTCATTTGCATTCAAAAAAGTTAGGAAAGATTTTAAACTTTCCTCCGTTCCTTTCCAAATAAAGAAGATGTCATCTTTTTAACATTAACCCCTGGCTAGCCTAACACCAAATTCCCCAATTTCCCACTAACTTCCACCCACCCCCGCTAGCTAAATATATAATTGTAAAATATTTAAATTAATTAATAAAATAAATTTAGCCCCTAAGGGGTTAAAAAAATAAAAGTTAACCCTCAGGGGTTAAAAATAAATAAATATCAGATCACAGTAAAATGTAGTCCCTGCCAATTGATCACTGTAGTCAATGATCAATTGTCAGGGAAGGGGTTCATTTTTATTTTAAATGGGTAAAGGGGTTGGGATATTACTTTAACTTTATTTTTATTTATTTTTACATGGAGAAGATTACTGCTGATCCGTCTCCCTGCACGTCACAATGAACGCGGAAGCGCAGGGAGGCGGACCAGGAGTCCCTGCAGCACATGTGCTCGCTCTGACAGCCTGTCAGAGTGATCACAACTGCAGGGACAGTGCGATCTGGTGCTCTAGGAGCTTTAATCCCGTGATCCCCGCAATCACAGCGATTGGGTTAACTTTAGTAAATGATGGAAATTTTCCGTCATGCATCCTTAACGGAAGGACAATCATGATGGAAAATCTCCGTCTAGCATCGCGAAGGGGTTAACATGTAGACAATCTCATCATGGCTTCTACTGAACACGATGAGTCTGACTCATTTATGGGAATGGCTATTTGTCTTGGGGACCTGTCTCTGAGCTACACCTAATACATCTGTTGATCCCAGCTCCTTCACCCTTGCAATTGATGGTGTCTGAATATTCTTCTAAAGGCCAGCTATGGAGGTTTTTGCTGCTTAGGAAGATATGGATATTCAAAATCCCCTTGTGTTTAAGTATGAAATCCAGGAACATATGGAGTAAACTATTTCAGGTTGAAGGGGCAGTAATATGTCCGTGACTTTCAGTATTAGTTGCTGAATTTTCTTCCAGAATTTAGCCAACTCATTACACATCTATAATACATGGAAGAACATATTATATACACAGACTGATTTCTAAACACATTTATTAGAATTTGAAGACCTATTACTGTGAGTATTACTATTGCTATAGAGCTCTGTTATACACTCAGACACACCGACATTATGGAGCTCCTAGTAAAGAGGGACATTTGGATAGAGAAGAGAAACAGGGACATTTTGGAGATATGCTTTAAACCATGTCTGGTTTGCCTGGATGGTATTGTTGTATTTATTTTATTTGTATAAGAACTCACATGTTTAAGAGTATTTTAACACTGCTCATGTAAAATCCTGTTGTATGTATATGCTGCAGTTAGAAAATGAAACAGTGACAGCACAGCTGAGGCACTTACATGAAATGTTATGCAAAGTACATTTTCTTATGATCCCATGATACAATCATATTGTGTCAGCAAATTTGCCTCCCATGTTTATGCAGCTCACGGGAATAAGTGTCAAAAACAAGCAAAAATAGTTCTCTGACATCTTTTAAGCATACTTGAGATTCAATGTTATTTACATAAAATGTCCTGCTTTTTTATAATCAGAAAGCATTTGAAAAGTTAGAATTTAGATGCATTGATGAGATAGCTTAGGGCAGGGCCGCCATCAGGGCATGACAACCGTGACAATTGTCACGGGCCCGGCGGCCCTGGGGGGCCCGGCCGCCCGAGCCCCACGTGGATCAGCGGAACTGCCGCCGGTGCATCTGCACCGGGGCCCACAAGCTGATGGGGCCCATCAGGTGGCCCCAATCATTTAGGGCCACCCAATGGGCCCTATTATCTTCAGGGGCCCGTTTAGCGCTGTAATAGCGCGACCGGGCCCCTTTAAAAAAAAAAAAATGCAGCCGGAAGCAAGTGCTGCTGGGAGGAAGTGACGTCCGGTCACTTCCTCCCACTTTACTCCGCGCGGGAAGGAGGACGCAGCCTGAAGAGAGGCAGCCGATGCCCATCATCCCCAGCCACCCTCCTGCGACGAAATGGTAAGGAAGAGAGGAGGGTGGCTGTGGAGGAAGTGTATGTGTGTATGAATGCCAGTGTCTGTGTGTGTGTATGCTGGTGTCTGTATGCCAGTGTGTGTATGCCAGTGTGTGTATGCCAGTGTCTGAATGCCAGTGTATGAATGCCAGTGTATGTGTGTTTATGTATGCCAGTGTGTGTATGCCAGTGTATGTGTGTGTATGCCAGTGTCTGAATGCCAGTGTATGTGTGTGTGAATGCCAGTGTCTGAATGCCAGTGTATGAATGCCAGTGTATGTGTATGTATGCCATTGTGTATGCCAGTGTATGTGTGTGCCAGTGTGTATGCCAGTGTGTGTATGCCAGTGTGTGTGTGTATGAATGCCAGTGTATGTGTATGTATGCCAGTGTGTGTATGCCAGTGTGTGTATGCCAGTGTCTGAATGCCAGTGTATGAATGCCAGTGTATGTGTGTGTATGCCAGTGTCTGAATGCCAGTGTCTGAATGCCAGTGTATGTGTGTGTATGCCAGTGTATGAATGCCAGTGTGTGTATGCCAGTGTATGTGTGTGTGTATGCTGGTGTATGAATGCCAGTGTATGTGTGTGTATGCCAGTGTCTGAATGCCAGTGTCTGAATGCCAGTGTATGTGTGTGCCAGTGTGTATGCCGGTGTATGAATGCCAGTGTGTGTATGCCAGTGTATGTGTGTATGAAAGCCAGTGTATGTGTGTATGTATGCCAGTGTGTGGATGCCAGTGTATGTGTATGTATGCCAGTGTATGAATGCCAGTGTATGTGTGTGTATGCCAGTGCGTGTATGCCAGTGCATGTGTGTATGTATGCCCATGTATGCCAGTGTATGTGTGTGTGTGTATGCATGCCTGTGTGTGTCTGTATGTATGTATGTATGCCTGTCGGTATGTATGTATATATCAATATGCAGTATGTATATGTATGTTTGTCAGTATGTATGTCTGCTTGTATATGTGTGTGTGTCTCAGCATCTCCCTATGCATGTGTGTATGTCTGTTTCAGTATTTGTATCTGTTAGTGTGTGTATTCCTGTGGGCGGGATTTGGAGGCAGGCTTGAAGGGGGGCCCAGACCTTGAGCTGTGTTAGGGGCCCCAAAATTTCTGATGGCGGCCCTGGCTCAGGGTTTCCCAATGCATTTTTCCCTTGCAACCCTTTGACATGCTATAGCAAAACTTTGGAACCCCCCCCAAAAAATGTCATAGAGTAGCGCAAACCTTTCGATGTGCAGAGTGTAATGTTCTCTTTTGCTGGCAAATTCTTTTTATATCTGGTTTAATTGTTGACAATTGTATTCGCATGTCTGCAGTTGCGTCAAATCGATTTAAAAACTTTATTTTTGTTGCAGAGTAAAGCGAGAATCCAGTTTCACATAAGTACATGCTGGCGAATGGCAACAGAACTTTGATTGCCTGCTCGGACAATTTTGGTTATTCTTCGCGTAAATCACCCCAAAAAGCAATAAGAGAAACTTCTTTAAATGTTTGACTTAGTTGACTGTCAGATGTTACATAGATCAGAGTCTCAAAATCTACATCCGAAAAATTGGCTGGTTTGTCTTTTATGAATGGATTTCGAACCCAGTCATTATTGTTTTCATTCAAGAATGGAAAATACTGATTAATAGATGTGATTAGTGATTAAATGGCGAAGATGATCTACAATTTCATTACGAATTTCAACTTCAAGTTCAATTTCTGATTCTTCAAGAAAATCCTTAAGTGTTGGAAAGAGTTAAAATTATTTTGCTCAACAGATGAGGTCCAAAACTGCAGCTTATGAAACAGTGAAAATATTTTATCTCTTGCATAAAAAATATTAGTGTTCTTTTCCTTGGAATGATAAACAGATATCATTTAATTTTGTGAATATGTCTGCAAGATATGCTACTTTGGATAACCACAGAGTGTTTGTTAATCGATCATATAATCCAAATTTATGATCCTGGAAATACGCAAACAACCCTTGACTCAATTCAAAAATTATAATAAGGACTTTTCCTTGTGATAGCCAACAGACTTCTGAGCAGAGTGGTGACTACATATATCTTCACATATAATTTTAAATAGTCGTGACTGTAATGGTCGACTTTTTATAAAATTAATAATCTGGCACAGTTTTAAGTGAGATTGAAATATTTTTAGCTACCAGTGCAAGAACTGGTGCTATTTTTTGCTACATTTCTTATTCGTGTCACAGCGCCTGCCACTTTCCCAACCATTGCTTTGGCACCATCACTGCACACATCTACACATTTGTCCCAATTTATACTGTGTGTTCATGAACTTCTGGATACAGTTAAAGATGTTCTCACTAGTGGTATGAGTTTTCAAAGTTTCACACAGAAGCATGTCTTCTTCAATCTGTTTATCAAAATTATATCTAACAAAAACCAACAAAATTGAAAGACCTGCAACATCTGTGGACTCATCTAATTGCAGTTCCCATGAGTACCCATCACATTGATGCAGTAGAGAAATTAGTTCAGTATGGATGTCATCAGCAAGATCATGAATATGGCACAAAACTGTGTTGTTGGAAAGTGGCACAGCTTAAATTTTTTTTACTCATCTTCTCACTTAAAATACATGACACTATTTCTTTTGCACGTGGTTTTATTAGTGATTGCCCAATTGTGTGTGCTTCTCCTGCAAGTGCTATGTGGTTGCTCATAAATTGTTTACTCTTCTGATACTCCTTTAGCTTTTGCTTAAAAAAGTCAATGTCTGGGGTGGAGCCTACTGCCGACCTGCATGGACACAGAGTATAGGAGCTCCGACGGACAGAGTACAAAATCCATTGCCATTGGCCAACTAATAAATATGGGACACCCCAAACGCTCCACCTCATCCGAGCAGTCTACCGGGAAAACAGTATAATCAAAATTGGAAGCGCACTCTACCCCTCACTATGGACTCCAGGGTGCTTCTTGGAAAGTCCCAGTACCCAAGCAGGACCAATAATAGGCAATTGTAGAAATAATCCAGGCACTCCAATAGATTCCAAATTTCAAGGTAATTTATTCGAACCAGGAACTACAAAGCAACGTTTCAGCCCTAACAGGGCTTTTTTCAAGCTTTATAATAGAGGAAGACAGAATAACCTCCGTATATAAAAGGCCTCCCTGAACAGGATTCTGAGGACTTATAAGAGGTACTGTGGGAGATTTTTAATTTGGTCATGGGGTAACCAGCAGATGCTGAGCTCATATTTGACAGAGCACATAGAGCCCTGCGGTCAAGAGGTCCCCCGCTAGAGAGGCCCAGAAATGCAATGTGTCACTTGCACTACTACTCCCAAAACAAGGACATTCTTAAAGCTGTAAGGCAATCTACTCAACCGTTGCTGTATAGAGAAGCACCCATATCTGTCTACCCAGATTTGTCATGGCTGACCTTGCAGGCTAGGAGGGCCCTCAGACTCATCACAGACAACCTGCGAGCGCGGAACATACGCTACAGATGGGGATTCCCCTTGGCACTTAGTATCACCCACCAAGGCAAGGTGCACACCATCCATTTAGTTCAAGATGTCCTGGTGTTTATACAGGCGCTGGACTTAGCATATACGCCTTATGGAAGCGGCCTCCCATTCTGGGGGTCCGCGTTACCATTGCCGTCCCACCACTGCAGAAATGCGCAGGTACAAATATGTTGTGCTTGCAGATGAGTAATGTACACAAGGAATGCTTAAATATGCTTAAATAGACTGCTTTAATGGTGTAACCTCACTTGACCCAGTATCCTCCCCTTAGTCTCAGGTTCCGAAAAGGAACTCCCCATACAGATAATGCTAATGTTTAATAATCGGCTACCATCCATACTGTGACCATGTGACCCACAACTAATGTTCCAGAGAAATGTTGTATTATACAACCCCTCAAAACTAATGCCCATCCAATTCACAATCAATACGTTAAGGTGGATTTTTGCTCTCAACCGTCCAATAACATTGGCAAGTGATAGTACACATTTCTTGATCCCTCTACACTATCAGCCAAGAAGCAATGCCCCCACCCAATATTCTTACTCACACGCCAAAGTATTCATGAGTTCTCATATACCTAATGTGAGTTAAATTCACACCTACTGACAGTCATTTGGAAACTGACTGAGGGGTGGCTACAAGAATCCCAAATAGAAAATTGGCTCTAATTTGGGACAGACACCGACAGTACTTTATCACTTATAAGCTCATATTACATGTTGATATAAGTGTAAATAGTTATTATTTCCTTATTGTGTATGTTTGTTATGTTATTATTATTTCAATCTTGACAACTGGTGCAGAGGTCTTGGGATTTACCGCACATAAGACACGTATGGAACAATGTCATCTACACAAACAATGAGCACACAATCGGAAATTCTCTGCATTAGTACTATAAATGTGAGAGGTTTAAATTCGCCAGAGAACCGTACACAAGCTCTGATGGAGATCCAGAAACTCAAAGCTGATGTGGTTTTTAGACATGTGCATTCATTTTCGTACGAATACGATTTCGTCCGAAAATTCTTTTTTTTTCGTATTCGTTTACTAAAACGTAAACGAAAGTCCTACAAACGAAATATAAACTAAACGAAAGGGCAAATGCAGAATGCATTACCTTTTCATTTCGTTTAGTTAATTTAATAGACTCAGTGCTGCAGGGGAATTACCCCACACAGCACAGAGAAATAACAGTGTGCATGCGTGACAAAGAAAAACCAAGGAGGGAGCAGGCAGTGCTACCAGCTCCCTCCTTGTAATAAATAACTATTCCTACCCCCTATGTATTAAAACCTATGGGGTTTCACTATGACCCCCATATAAATAAAAGGGAGGTTAAATCCTCTCTCATGCCTCTAAATGAGGGGGCATAGTGCCCCCTCCGTGCCCCCAACCATGACCCGCGGGTGAGAGCTATTAATAGAAACAAGGGGACCTAATGTCCCCCCTGGTCCCCATCCATGAGTGGTGGGTGTGGACTCTTAAAAAAATAAATAATGGGATGACCTAATGTCCCCCCTAGGTGCCCACTCATGACCGGTGGGTGGGGACCACAAATAATAAAGTGACTAGGGGTCCCCAAGCCCCTAGTCACTCCCCTCCAATAAAAGTAGCCTACCTACCCCCTCACCCTAATTATAGTGAGGAGGGGGGCAATAAACTAACCCTGTAAAATACAATTTCACACTTACCATTTGATGTCTTCTTTCTAAAAAAATATGACGAACAAAACAAAAATCCCGACGGTAAAGAAATAATCCTTCTTCACCCATGGAGGGCACAGCACAGAATGAGCTCCGCAGGGCGGGGAAAGGCTTATAAAGCCTTTCTTTGTCCTTCAATTAGGCTCAGAGCGTTCAGATTGGTTGGTTTAAGCCAACCAATCAGTGTGCTCTGACAGGTAAATGAAGAGACTGACAGGTAGGTCTCTACATTTACCTGTCACAGCACTCTGATTGTTTGGCTTGAAATCCAACCAATCAGAGTGCTCTGTGTCATTTTACACAGCATGGAAAAGTTCTTTGGAATTTTCTCATGCTGTGTAATTTGATACATAACACTGTGACTGTTACTTTCGATTTTAAATGAGATTTTAAAAGATTTTAAACGGATGGTTTGCAGGCAAAATTCGGGATTGAGGAATTAAATTTTTAGTTCATTTGTATGAAACGAAAATTTCACTGGTGCACATACCTAGTGGTTTTTCTTCAGGAAACACACTTCATTAAGCACGATGCCCCTTCGCTACGTAATAGATGCTATCCCCAAGGATATTTTAGTAACTAAGTTGAAG